CAATCCAACCATGCATCCACCAACACATCCATCTGTCTATTCATCCATCATCCATCAATCCATCCATGCATCCATCCATCTATCATCCATCCATCCAATCCATGCATCCATCCACCCATCCATCCAATCCATGCATCCTTCCTTCCATCCATCCATGCGTCCATCCATCCATCCATCCATGCATCCATCCATGCATGCATTCATTCATCTATCATCCATGCATCCATCTATCCATTCATCCATCCATCCATTCATGCATGCATCTATCCATGCATGCGTCCATCCATCCATCCATCCATCCATCCATCCATCCATCCATCCATCCATCCATGCCCCCATCCATCCATCATCGACTATCCAACTGTGCATTCATGCATCAATCCATTTATGCATCCACCCATCCATCTCTTTACTAACTTCCCCCATTCTGGGTCTGGGTAGCTGGTTGCAGACTAAAGACATCCATCTGCAAGCCTCTAGTATGTGACATTGTAAACAAAACAATGTGAAAAGAAGTGACTGTTGTTCACAAAGATTTGCTAAAACAGTATGACCAGATTTGTTGATCAGTGATGATTATTCTTTGCATTATAGCCATGTTTCAAACATAAGTGTTTGACCTTAACTAGTACCACAGGAACCGTCAAGCTTTTCATCAGACATTCAGCCTATTTAAAGAGAACAGCCACTGAGTAGTTTGGTCTGGTTGTGTGCACAAACTTGAGAGCTGTCTGAGGTGCTCAGAAAGAGGAATAATGAAAACATGTTAAAGGTCAAGGCTTCAAAGACCATCTTCAATCAGCTTCATGGTCCTCTGAGCACATCTGACAAGACTAATAAAAAGTATAGGTTTCATGGGACTGTAGCCAAACTTTCAAGACATGGACGCAAGAGTTGATGCAACCCCAGGCTGAACAGTGTGGATGGTAGAAAAACAGCTGAGGAACCCATGAAGCATTCAAGCTGAACTCCAAAATCAAAGCACGTCACTTTCTGATCGTACCATCCATCACATTAAAACAACGGTTAAATCATGTCATCTGGACCCGTTTCTTTAAGTGAAGACATGATTTAACCATTTTTGTTGTCATCTACCAGGATGATTGAGCTGACAAAACATTCATCCATCACATTTTGAATCAGAATGGGTTTCATGAAGAAAGACCCAGGACGACGCCAGTACTGACAGAAAAACACTAAAAGCATGTTGACAAGAACCAAAGTTTCTGGGACTGATGAGACAAAACTGGAACGTTTTTGATCGCATCAGTTACGTTTTAATTATGATTTTTTTTAACATAATTTGGGAAAAGGGTACCAATATATCTATTACATGTCAGGAGAAGCTTTAGCTCCGATTTAGTGAAAAATCTTTCAATACAGCAGAAGTTCAACTGACCCAAAAAACACTGGGTTACTACTTACATCAGGTAGATAAAAGTGTTAACGCGGATGTATTACATTAAGAATAAACGTGCCTGTTTGTCATGTAGTGTCTTTATTTGTTCGATCGCTCACCTCACATACAGAGGAATGTTGCCACTTTGTGTCTGCGGCACCAACAGTTCTATTAAATCACCGTGACATTAAATCACTATGATTAAGGAAGTCGAGCATTCGACCTAATCTGATCCACCTCTGTAATTTCCGTCTCAGATATGGGCTTGAGAGATTTATGAGTGACAGTCTGTCGTCAGAAAAGCTCATACGGTTTGTTTGCATAATTAAAAATATTTACTAAAAACCGGCTTTTATTATCTGCCACTTACAGATAGAACAGAGGATGTTTTGCACTTCAGACGTCGTCTTTATTTCTCCATTTTATTTTCAACATCCTCACCCTGCAATAAATCTACAGATTTCTGTATTCACCTTCTTTTTTATTTCTGCACAAGACTCCTCTCTTTTCCTGGTCTCCTCTGCTCCTTCAAATAAATCTCTCCTCCCTCCTGTTACCCCACCACCTCCCTAAATCTATGAAACACATTCAAACAAACATGTGCACACAAACACACAGCCCTGCAGGCAGCAGCAGCCACAAAGGCCTTATATTAATAAATCTGCTCCTTTATTGGTGCTGAGTGTCTCTGGCAGAGAAAGAGAGGGAGGAGAGGAGGGGAGGGGGAGGAGGAGGAACAGGACAGGAGATGCAGAGATCACCAGAGGGGGGAGGAGGAGGTGACTGTAGCCATATCATCAGCAGAGGAAAAGCAGAAAGAGAGACGGGAGATTAAACGAAGCACGGTGGAGTTTTTATTAACAGAAACAGGTTTCACTCGTGTGATTGTTATTAAGGTGCAGTCCACCCACATCGGAACGCCCTTCGTTCTGAGCATTATTACAAACACCTGACACCTGGCTGAACCACCGGAGCGTTCGGAGTGGGCTGCGCCAGTCGCCGGGAAACAAACTGCCTGAGGTGGGCTTCGGGTAATGACAGCAGCTAGCTTGGCTTAGTGGTCCAATCTCAGCCATCAGTCAGCTGTGACAGATTGGGGATATGAGCTAAGGAGCAGTTTAGCTTTGGTGCTTGCCTGGTGTGTGAGTGCTGGAGCCTATGTGTCTGGGGGGAGGCCATCAGTGCTACTAGTGTTGCAGAGGCATCAATACACTCTTGACAGGCCATTTTCCTATGCCTATTCCCAGCCTTGGCTTGTTGCTGGGGCAACTACCGCCATTTTACCTTCTCTGGCTGCACAAAGAGCAATCCGAAGCATTTTACAAGCCAATAACCTGACTTACTATTTTTATTATTCAAACCTGTGCCATCGGGTCGTCTGTGTGCGTAGATCGAATCAAAGAAAAGAAAAATCTTTCTCAGAAAGACGATTTTTTTTTTGTGAAGAGTTCTGCACAGTTTTGGTGTCTTTCTGTACAAAGTTAATGGCACGAGTCCCTGTTCATTTTAATTTGGGGTCAGAATCCAAACGCTTGACTCGCTGCAGAGGTCACCAACAAAGTTTTCTCAGGGAACAGAATTTTTCTGAGCGGACTCCAGTAGTCATCCTAATGGAAGAAATGAATGCATTCATAATAATATTCCACAAATCAATCCATCCATCCATCCATCCATCCTCTTGTTCTGGAGTCAGGTCTTGGGGGCAGCTGCTTGAGCAGGGAGGTCCACACATCTCTTTCCACAGCCACCTCTTCCATTTCTTCTGGGAGGACTCCAAGGAGTTCCTAGGCCAGCCTGAAAATCCTCCCCAGGGAGTCGTCCAGGGAGCATCCTTACCAGAAGCATGAACCATCTAAACTGGTTCCTCTGGACGCGGAGGAGCAGTGGCTCGAGTCTCTCCGGGATAACTGAACATCTCACCCTGTCTCTAAAGGAGAACACAGCTACCTTGTGGAGAAAATTAAATTTGACTTTCTGTGTTGTGATGCATGCTCAATAATCCAGGTAGATAATTCTAACAAGGTTAGATTCAAACTTCTGTATCAATGATCTCATTCTTTTGGTCACTACCCGGAGTTTGAGATCATAAATGAAGGTAGGAACATAGCTCGTCCAGTAATCGGAGCACTTCGCCTTGCAGCTCTTGTTCCTCCTCACCACAATGGACCGGCGCACTGCAGAAACTGCAACAATACGTCCGTCAATCTTACGCGCTCACCCTGAGATTCCTAAAGTACACCTCAACCCAAACCAGGGGAGCCAACCTTTTCCAACTGAGGACCATGGCCTCAGATTTGAAGGCGCTGATCCTCGTTCCAGCTGTGAACCGCTCCATCACATCATGATGACACCAACAGGACCACATCATCCACAAACAGCAGAGACAGAATCCCGACTTGCCTCCCGTCACACTCCTGCATCAGTTGTATAGAGACTGAAAGGACCAACGGACCACCAGTCCCATCCTCCCAGCGCACCCCTCACCCTAGCGAGAGTAAAGTTGTTCTATTGCGTGAATCCGGTAATCTAAAGTCAGAGCTCCAAGGCTCTTGGCCGCTATGTGCAAGAAGGTTAAATAAAATAATATAGAAGTCGTATGAAAACAACTTTTCATATGTTTCACACAAATATAAAAGTATATAAAATAAATGTTTTTGATGGAGGTACGAGTTTGTTTGACATCATCAATGCACATATTGAAGCGCTCCAAGCAGCGATACATTATTAATACAATAAAAATACAGAATTATGTTTTTCAAACACCGTTGAAAGCAGCTAAACATAAACAGCTGAAAGAGAGAGGCGGGTCAAGGTTCTGCATCAAATTAGCGTACGGTACATACTCGGTTTAACCCTTACCACACTGACTACATTTACCTTTTTTATCATGTTTGATGTTTTGGTGTTGATTTAGAATAATGAAAAAACAATTTCTGCAAAATTATCTTAAATACTATGGTGCCCCTCCCCCTTTCATATTACTTTCATTTAGTTGTTTGTAGGTCGATATCCAGAAGTTACCCCCCCCCCACACACACACACACAAATAAATCCTTCAACCATAAATCCTGAATTTCAGACTTCTGAGTGAAAACACAACCAACAACAACACACAAATCTCTGCTGAATCAACAAAATAAAGCAACAGGACAACAAA